GATTCTATTGTTCTTATTTACGGAAACAATCGTGACAGATGTAATGATATGTTACACTAGGCAATATATTGATGCCCGTTTATGCTTTACTGTTGGTTGACAGTCGCAGACTCTCACACTTCTTACTGCATAGGTAACAGTTTTATACTTATAAGGACGGTACGACAGCAATTGATAATTCAAGATGTGTCATCTTTCGTCATCTAACAGTCTATTTATACGTATATATACCCAGACGCCCAAACCACGCTGTTAGTGTTACTCGCTATACCGCATATATCGTATCGCACGGTTTTGTTGTTAACCAGTGAAAATATTTTACCGCGACTGTCACAATTGTTTCCGTAAATAAGAACAATAGTATCAGTATATGATGTAATGATGTTGTGGCTGACTCTCACACTCCTTACTGCATAAATCACGACAATATACTTATAAGGTCGCGCACGACAACAATATCAAGTGTCATCTAACACGCGAACACGCGTCCATTCATACATATATATATACCCTGTCGCTCCTCTCCATAGCGCATGTATATGTACAGTCGCACCTTGTTATAGTCACACTCGATATAGTCACATCATATGAAAACCTTGATATAATCACCCATATTCCAAAAACCAACTATATAAAAACGCCCTCTATATAAGCACAAAAATTTTAATTAATATAGAGCTTATGAAAAAATACCTCTAAATAGGCACAATTTGATATAATCACACTTTTTTTTTGAGATCCCGATGGTGTACTTCACAACAACCTCTCTCCCTCCAAAGCGCAAATACAACGTTATCAAAAAGTTAATATACACAGAGCCTTTTGCTGCTACTACTCCATATTATGCACATAATTTGCCACAAGAACGCCTTTTGCTGCTACTACAACCTACAAACTTAAGACCTTATTGGAACGGAAAAGTCGCGGTATGGTCTCAGAAATTGTGGTTACCCATTGTGACCGACTCTGCCGCGACCTCCGACGAGCACGAACTTTCCCAAGATGTCTTTGCAATCAAGCAAGGAAGAGGAGTCAACCCAAACAAGGAAAAAAGCGCAAGATCAAGACAACAGCAGCACGCAACAAACGACAACACTTGGGACCTCTCCATGTATGCTGCTAATCAAAGTATACCCAAATCACCTTCAAAGCAGCTATTGAAACGGTGGATGGGCTTGTCGAACTGAAAACACGCATAAAACATGCAATCTTATACAGAGTGATAACAGGCTTATGACGGTATGCGGAAAGCAGTGATACCGCCGTTTCTATACCAAAGATTCGCATATCGATATTGGTCCATCACGACGGGTTTGGATAAATTAAAGACATTATCCTCCTCCAAACTCTTTAACCATTGCAATATTTTGCTCATTGAAAATCAAAATCGTAAGCACATAATCTCTCCCCTCAATGCTAACACCGCCACCACCACCACCAAAAAACTACCACCAAAAAGGGTTCAAACAAAAGGAGGTCCTCAGCTCCCCAACTTACGGATAGATCACAGATCTCCGACAACGACACGAAATTATCAGTGACATTGGTTCAGGGCTCAATTGAAAACGCAGGGGGTTTGTTACCCTTTTGGAACGAATACACTCTCTAAAGGAGTCGTGGTTACCCGAAAAGACCGCTTGTGTCGCTTTGGATCCAAACTTGTGGAGTGGGTCTTTGAAAAAAATGGGACACGACTCGTGGTTCTCGGTTCAGAAGTTTATACCAGATAGCGAATATGGAGAGCTCGCAGAAGGCCTACTTGTAATCGTCACAGTGTTTGTGGCGCGACATAATGGACTACGTTCGGCCGCAAATCGCAAAAGGAGAAGAGAAGCTGCCCAAGAGGTTCAAGAGTTTCAAGAAGGAAGTGAAGAAACTTTCAGCAGGCAAGGTACGACGTATTCGCATTTATCCCAATCAGCAGGAGCGGCTGAAACTCAGAAGATGGATGGGAACAGCACGATGGACATACAATCGGTGCCTTACCGCGGTCGAAAAAGAAAGTATCAAACGAGAAAAGAAGGATCTACGCGCACTATGTCTCAACGCCAAAAACTTCAATGATACCAAACTTAAATGGGTCCTCGAACATTCGTGATGAAGCAATGAGCGACTTGCTTAAAGGATATTCTTCCAATTTTGCTGCCAATCGTAAAAAATTCAAGCTCCGTTCCAAAAAGGAACCTCAACAATCACTGGGGCAAGTCTCGTGGTGAATATTCATTCTTTCTATTGTGGTTTATTCTGGAACGTTCACAACGGTTACAGAGGTGTCCTTATGTATTATATGGGAAAGATTAAAGGTCGAATAACGTTATTGTTTACGGGTAGCGTGAGATCGATTACTTATTGCAGGTAGATTACATTTAATGATGACGTTAAGCAGTTTTGGTAAACACATTATGTATGGAAAGATCAATATTAACAATAATATAACAATAAGATACTAAGAGGGGTCATGTATCAGTATAAATCCATAGAGACGCGTTCAGTAATGATAATTAGAAAAGATTTTATTACAAAGAAAAACTACGCTATCCGATCAGTTCGCCAAATAGCCTGTCATCTTTCTACAACAAAGTCATATGTCTCCCGATCAACCTCCTTTTCGAGCCACCCAATTTTCTCCAAGACCTTCCCAGCACTAATACCAGCCAGACCGCCGATTGCTTTGAAATAATTCACAAACGGTTGAGAAAAGGGAACAACCAAGTTCAGAAGATCTTCGATAGAAATAAAGTCTTCCATTTTGGAAATAACCCATCTGCCGTCATTGTTAACGCGAAAGTCTGCATGGCTCATTGTTCTGTTGAAAGTTTGGAAGATAATATTTTGAAGGGACCAATAAACAAGCGTTCGTTTAAATAGTCATGGGTGTAATAATAACACCGATTATATAAAGAAGACTAACCTGACAGCAACGGTCAAATACGGAAAGAGCAACGGATGCAACTTTGTCGTGTAATGGATAAACCCTACCTTCTTGTGTGGATCGAACACTTAATAAAGCAAGATTGTTATTAACCGATGATGGTTACCTTCCAGATCAGGTCTAAGGTCCTTCATACTTACTAACTTCATGTACTTCCACCTGATGGGGACCTGTCAATACTATCAACGTGTAATAATTAATAAAAGTAATACCGCGATTTCCGGCAACGCTTCTCTGCTAACGTTACCTTGGCAGTATTTATATAACGAAAAAAGCTTATTGCGTGAATCTCGACTGCTCTGAATAATGACGAGGGGGTGTCTGAATTCTACTTCCGACGTGACTATTAAAATGGAGAAATACAGGTGTAAGCAAGCGTGCATGTTGTAAATCGTTACGTACAATATGTTTTACATACAAAACTCCTCCAGCTGCTCTTCCGAGTCCGTTGTTAAAAGTCTCTTTATTAACTGTTATCAAGTATAATGGTTAGGATGTAATGGCTAACTAGTGTTGCTGATATACAAGAAAGCATACATACAGTCGGTAGTTCTCGTGTTGGAACTTCCATTCTTTTAGTTATAAAATAGCTTATCTGAAAATATCTGTATGAACAACGCCTTTCTTTTATTATGCTTCTGCCACCAGCTCTCTACCCCTTCTGTCTGACGGAATAATCGTGAGATAAGCGGGAAGACTACCATATTATCATGTGGAAGATTAGTCTGGGTAAAAGCAAGTTACCATTTATGTCTTAACTCGATCCGATTATGCACGTGACTAAAGTAGTGGGAGAAACATTGTCACGAGAATGTTTAAGATATGTGACGGATATGCTATCCATGGTTTTATCGACTATTATTATTATTACAGTAAACTCTCCCCAAGTGCAGCTTCTCTAAGTGCAGGCACCATATTTTCCCTCCCTAAATGCAGGCTCTGGTTTGGTCCCGAGATTATAAGACCATTACATTAAGTATTTCACTCTCTACAAATGCAGATTCTCTATAAATGCAGTGTCTGATTTGGCCATATGGTCCCGTCAGTGCTGCACTTAGGGAGAGTCCACTGTATTGTTGTTTGGTTTTCGGTTAAGAAGCGGCTATTACAGTTGAACCTCGTTATACCGAGTGTCGGCCATGATTCGGTCGGTATAACGAGACATTCGGTATAGTGAGGTACCTCTATATAACAAAGTTAGGCCTAGGTCAAGCAATATTCGTTATGATGAGACTTATGTGAATAATATCTTTACTTCAAATAATACATGAATATAATCTAAAAAACAGTAGATATACTAATACGGCTGATCAAATAACACAGCTAAAAAATCATACTATTTACTATTAATATTAATACTGTCGAAATCGTATGATGCGAAATCGTATGACTAACCAAAAATCGTATGATCTTCATCTGCTACAACCAATCAAAAATCAAACTGGGCTTTAGCGAGCACCTCGTTGTGAATAAAAGTTCCTCGCGATACCCATGTAAAAATCCTGCATCGGACTTTGGTAACGGTACAACGAGATTTTACTATTTAAATAACGGGGGAGCCAGAATTCCTTCGGTATAACGAGGTTCGACTGTACTGTGAAAAAATTATGCTTAAAAGAAACCAAAGCTTTATAATCTTTTTCATTGATCAAATCGAACGTGCTGTAGTGTATAATAAACATTAATTACATGACCGTACATATGCAATAATAACAAATATGTCTCTAATATAAACCTCTATAAATATTGACGAGTATCGCAAAAATGCTGGCTTATTACTGTTGTTCAACGGTTTATTGTGTACCCCACGAGCTGTTATGAAACTGGCATATATATAGCCAACAAATCGTGGCGAATAATAATATATCGTACATTTGCGCAACATGCCTAGATGCGAGAACAGCGTCGGATGACCAAACAGTTATTCTAGAACGACAGCTAATACAAATCTAAAATCGAAAGAATGTACTATTTATAAAAGATCAATAGCTTAATTAAGCCATTTTATATTTTACTCGTTCACACTAGTGAATGAGTCATCTATACTTCCGTTCAATAATTAATTATTAATTATTAAAGCAAATTAATATAAATTATCTACATTGTTAGGCGATCTATTGCAATATTGTCATTTATGTGCATAAGCTAAATTTAGGATGCTAAGAATTTTTCTATAAGTTGAGCTTTATTTAGCTTTATGTTATCAGAATTCTACGTCCAACGTAAGACATCTTTTCGGAACAACCATAGTAGTATTAAATAATTCAAATACTAGCAGAGAAAGTCGAATTACATTAATTTTTGATTTCCTTTCCCAAAAATGCGACCGCTAAAATAGAAACTATTTAATTACTGTGTCTAAATAATTCTAATGGCAATGGTAATCAAGTATACTTGCTTACATTTTGAGGGTGCTTTACGCAAGTTTATATCTCACGCATAGATAGACATTAATCGGAGTCTAGCATAAAGATACTGGAGAAATAAATTGTAATGTTTGATGACGAAAGTAAAACTAATGGTTATTGTAAGTAAGTGATTTGAAAAGATATATGTACTTTATTCTCATGTCTTCAACTAAACTAACATGACGAGATCAAGTTTCTAGAGTCTGGATTTTCGAGTTGAAGACAAAGGCTGCAAATTTATTGCCCGATGACCACTACAAGAATACAGTTGCAGCGATTTCTAGAAACTCTAATACTAAATATCCACCAGTGAATTAATTGATTAAGATTAGGTTGCTTGAGAGAGGGGCTCTTGCGTGTCTCTTTCCCTTTTTTTTTATAGTTAAAGTTTGCCTTAGTAGTTTATTCATAAAAGATAAACAAAGATGATCTTGAACAAAGTATCAGTAAATATGTGATCGCATTGTGTACCAACAGTAATTATGCTGTCAATACACATATTATTTTATTCTATATTAGGTTAATACTTGTACACGAATATATTTAGAGCATTTAGAACTTGTTACATTCTATAATAAACACCAAATGCACAATAGGATTAGGCATATGCTGGGAATATGTGCCGTATGCATAATTTGCACCGCCCCCTCCCAGTGCACGATGTCTGTGTTTCACTTGTGGGGTTTCAACTCCGGATTTGTCGCATATTGTGCTACGACTACCGCCTTTGTAGAATGCTCAAAAATCGTCTGGTCGAAACGCAAATCCAAACAAAAAGCCCCAAGAACAAATGGTAGATCTTTGCCTCGGTGTCATGTTCTAATCGAAATGTATTGGTATAGAGACCAAAAAACGGAATTATAATGTCGAGATGTTATAATGCCATTGGACATTTGTCCATTTTTTGACCCCTGAACTTTGTCTAGAATGCAGTAATTTACCAAGGTTTACGAAATGGTTTATGCCTAACATGGATGTTTAATAATGTTAATAAACATCGATACAACCTCAATTTGGTGAATAATCTTTGCAAAAGTTGCAAGACAGTCTAACAATGGGTGCCAAGACTTGCTGGCTTGCAATGGAAAAAACAATTTAGGGACAGATATCACATGGTTCGCCCGGCTAGTTTTCATTGGAACGTCCGCAATAGTAAGAACATAATCATAACAATTGCCATTATTGTAAATGATATATTTACTTTTATACCCGACCCAATCACAAATGTGAGCCTTTCGATGGGATGTAAAGCGATCTCGTGCCTCGCTTCTACCAGGCCATCTCCAATCGCACGTTGTGCTACGCAAGAAGACTAAAAATCCCAACCCCTCCCGGTAGTCTCAATTCACACAATTTTGATTCTTTCCATCTTTCTTTCCTCAACCACTACTCTTCTCCACCTCTCATCTCCCTACCCCTGGGTCTCGTTTACAATCAACCGCGCTGCATATACATTAAACCCACAATGCAAAGTCTACGAAAATTGCGACCAACTCTTCGAAAGAAGAAGAAGACGGTCGAAATGTCTGTTTATACTCCCCTCGTTGGAAAGAATGGGTATGTCATGGAATATCGTCACCCACAATACACCATGACATTCCACTATAAATACAAGGATAATTCTGATGGGACCATGACAAAAATAGGCCACACATTATCTTTATCTGATGATAACGAAAAAGATTATGTATTCTATCAGACAGTAGCCGATAAAGAACAAATAGCCCTTGAACATAAATGGATGGCTCAACTCAGAACCACAGGTAGTATATGTTTGCCGGCTGGCATTAAGAATGACTGGGGTGACGTAATGCAACATAACAACAAGCTACCGATTACCGATAACATTCAACGACGGCGGCTTCGCGAGGTGCTGGGTAATCTCGCTTATCAACAGGGTGATGTTTGGAAAGATACAGAGAAGACAGACGTTTCTTCTCCGAGTTCTTACTCTTATTCAACTAACAGCTTATTAAATGTTAACATTCCCCAGAGGGGCTCAAAGGCAGCAAAGAAGGAGAATAATAAGCCTACGAAACATGTTCATTTGGAGCATCCCACATTTAGTAAGACAGCTCCTGTTGTACATGTCTATGATCCCGAAGAAAGTCTTGTTTATAAAGAATGTCAATGCGAGTATTGTCGTTATGCAGATTACGACGATTTATAAGTTATTCACTAGACAATCTATTTGTGGGTAAGAGTAAGCGGTATCTTTTTCAAGGGTGCCGTTCTGTTGACCATTCGATCAGATGGAACAGTTTTTCCAAAATTCAAGTGGGTATTTTAATAGTATAAAGCATTCGCCTATAAGAGATTTTTACTCGTATAGGTCTCCGCATTTCATTGTAGTTAATTTCTCTCATTCCCCTTCTAGCCTTCGTTGTATTTACTTCTCCTTCTGACTTGTCTATTGGAGAGACATCAGCTTTCCTTCCTTTTTTTTTTCTTCTTTCGAGGATACGGTTGTATTCGAAGCACTCATTTTTATTGTAAAAAAAAAAGTTTCAGAAACTATTAAATTGAATGTGCTGTCTCTGTGATGGCCAATGTATAATATTGAAAATATATACGTATATTTTGTGCGTCTCCTATGTGTAATTTGTGAACGAGAAGAGAATGTCGTAAGCACTTTATAGATCGTGACGAATATAATTGAACTTTTTTAAAGTGAAACAAACCCCAAAACCGCAGTGCTATTGACAACTGTGCATTGCTGTACAAAATTCACCTTCTGTGCCTATCCAAATAAGTATCAGCGAGAACTCGGGCAAATCGACTGCGGTCAGAAGACAATAGTTATGATGAGGGGCAGAGGAACGAGGCATTGATGCCAATATTACTGGCGAGACTGGACCTGAAACGAATTAGTTGCAAAAAAGTTGGCTGCCCAAATGTTTGAAGCAATAATTTAAAAACAAGTTTGAAAAAGTTCTCACATTCGAACGTGTCCTATATCGAAAGATCGAATGAAATATTAAATAATATTGTTATTGATTATTTAAACGTTGAAATGATATTTTTGTTCACAATATGATCTATTGTTCGAAATTCGACATGGCTGTAAACACTGCGACTTATCAGTAACGCATTCATTGAACAGTAGTACAGATGTGCGGGATATCTAAATCGGGAGGATGTTGGCACACGCAAAGCTGGGACGTTTTTGTGAGACCGATCAGTTATTCATCAAGTGCGCCTCTAGATAAAGACCTCGAAAACTCAGTTATTCATTAATTCCGATATAAAATTAACGAGAGTAGCTAGCACTCATAAAGTGTGCATTTCCTGGTGATCGTACTGATAGATCCGGAATCGTTAATCTCCAAGTGATCGAGACGTGTCATCTATTCACTCTGGCATGGCGCATACATTCCTGTTTAATTATTGATAAACGCGTTATAAGTGATATTCATCGATCCCAACGTACAGGGTGCAAACAGTGAGAGAAATAATCAATTGCTCTGCACTGTTTGACACAGCGATATATAACAGAAGCAATAACTATTTTCACTTTGTCCTGGGCATGGCTTCGCTTCTTCTTTTCTGTCTTTTTTTCTGTAATTCTCTGCAATTGCTTTAAAATAAAGACCTCGAAACTTCTGCAATTGCTTTAATTGAAATTTACTCTTAAAGCAATACAAAGTCTCGACGATACCCCAAGTTCATAATTAGACAATTTCCACTCCCCCGTCTGAGGGGAAAGGCTAGTTGCCTCCCCTTGTCTCCCCCTTACATCGATTTCCTCTTTTGTTATCACAATTCCATACCCGGATGGGGGCCGAGCTGCTGAAAACTCTAATACTAATACTAATACTAGTACGATTTATATTAGCACCAATAATATTATGTCTGACTGTCGATTAAATCACACAAATATGTAGATGTCTGACATAGTGACGTAAATGTTTTGACCATTTAAATCTTAGAATCGCTGTTCCGCAGTAAAAAATTTAATTATATAAACAACCAATATTCGAAAGGAGTTCAACCTTTCCTCCTGAACGATTTGGTCCAAGAATCCACCTAGAACGAAGATAGGCTAGAAAATGTTGAAAATATGGCAGGCCGTGAGAAATTGCAGAGATTCGAGGTAGGTTTTTTCGGCGACGATATATCTTCTTGGAAAGAAAAACTTGGCGTATGAATGAAAAGGGCGTTGCGAGCAAACATGAAAATAAGCGAAAGCGAGTTGTTTTTTATAATGGTGTCTTACGTGCGGGTAATACAGGGTTTAAGACGTGACTTTTTCTATTGCAGAGGTCGACAGATGTCTAAGCTGTTTTTAGAACTTCCTGATCAAGAAGACTATCCCGATTATTACGAAGAGGTAATGATACCAAACTGCCTGCTCCATAGACATTGATCACTGTTTGCAACTCATGACTTTTTTGTTTACTCGCCACATTCTCATCGTTTTGCACATTCACCACACATTCCATCAAATCAAATCAAATCACAGATTGCTAGACCCATTGCCTTGGACATTATTAAAGTACGTGACATTTACGTTATTGACTGTTTTATTGTTGCATAACCATTCCGTCGATCATGCGTATGAACATTGAATTTAATAGGAGAAAATCGAAACCGGAAAATACCACGACATTCTTGGTTTAGGGGCCGATCTTAATTTGATGTTTGAAAATGCGAAACAGTACAATGCGGAAGGATCACAAATTTATAATGACGCCCTTTTTTTACAAGTACGTCACAGTATGACATAAAAAAAAAAAAGTAACAGTTGCTGCAATGTAAATTCGACAGTAAATATTGATTAATTCTGATAATACTGGTAGAGCTTGTCGGCAAAGTTGATTGCCGCCGAGCATCCGCAGAGAGGAAAATTGATGCAAACTGATCCCGAGATCAATGATGCTGATTACATGGACTTGACCGAAGTAGAACATAATGGAGAGATATATCGAGTCGGTGCGTTAGTGGACAAATTTTATGTTGAACAGTGCAAAGGTGATTAAAAAATATAAACATGAATTTTAAATTTGTAGGTGACTACGTGCACATTCGCAATGAAGATGGTTTGGCAAAACCAAATGTGGCACATATCTTTCGACTATGGAAAAATCAAAAGTAACTTATAAACGCCCTATTTATATCTTAACCTTTTTACGCGTATTAACTGCTCTCTAACATTATAATTTTATAGCGGCGAAGTAGGCGTTAATGTCTGTTGGTACTACCATCCAGAACAAACGGTCCACCAAGCTACCCGTTCCTTTTACGAAAACGAAATTTTCAAAACAAATGCTTATAATGAATATCTTATTTCCGAAGTAATTGAGAAAGTTTTTGCCGTTCCTGTTCGTGAAGCAATGAAAGGTCGTCCAAAAAACAGCGCGGGAAAAACCGTCTACGTGTGCGAATCGCGCTACAACGAATCTGGTAAAAACTTTTCCAAAATTAAAAACTGGAGCAGTACCTATGCTCCAGGATTTGCTGGACGCGTGGAAATGGAATACTATCCCCAAATGATTAGTCTTAAGCGGATCAAGAGTCCGCTTGCTGGAGCATTCGAAATGATAAAGACGAAGCCCAAACAGGAGGAATCTTCCCCGCAGTTAGCCTCGGTTAGTCATCAGCAGGTGTCACAACAAACTAGAACAGCCTCGCCTTTAACTAGTCAAGTCTCTTTACAATCAGTTGATAATAGTAATACGACTTTGCTTTCACAATATCAATCACCGGCGATACAAGCACAGTCGTCGATATCCTCACGAATTGAGAGCGTTCCTTCGCCAATACCGCATTACGATGGATATAACAATAATAACATTTCGACTTCTGAGTATAAAGTAAAAGGGTCTAGTAATGCACCGCAATATACAACGCAACATACGACACAACACACGACGCAACATACAACGCAACATACCACGCAACATACAGCACAGCATACAGCGCAACATACAGCGCAGCATAACATGCAAACACAACCGAGTGGACATTCAAGTCAAACAACAAGGGTAATGTCTTTGTCGGCGGAGACTGGTATGTAGAAAACATGGAATTCCAAGTTTTTAATTGCGACAGTAATTTTACTAAGCAACGATCCTGCATTATGTATAAAAAGCGAATCAATTTTCCTGCAACGCTCAAGGTGAAATTCTCTGGTTCGCTACGCCACCGGTTGATGTGGCACCCTTGTCGCGACCGCAGCACTCGAAGCTCTATATGGAGAAGCGGGGTGAGCTTCTAGCTGTAAGTGTATATTATGCCCATCTGGAGAATCGTATGCTTGGATGTCAGATACGACTATTCTTTCGTTGACAATAATTACTGCTGCTGCTGCTGCTGCTGCTGCTGCTGCTGTAACGTCTTATTAACAACTTGTATATAAAACTGGTATAGGAAAGGGAAAACGTCAATCGATGTGGTGCCCGACCAGATGTGGCCACAGGTATGCCGATGGTTATGCCAACATCCGCGCCATCAAAAGTTTCAACCTCCTTTAATGCGCCTGATAATCCAAACATACCGTTTGGGGAAGCGGAGGCCACGGTTGCTCAATGTCTTTTATGTGCGTATTAGTCAAGTATGAAAATATGAACCAAGTCTAGTCGAACTCTATTACTATACTTGTAGTGTTCAAAGACCTCATTTTCTATTTTCTTTCGCATTTTTCTACGCCAAACCTACTAATTGTTTCCATCTGTCCACCATCCTTCTCATCCAGTTCTAGCAAATGCATGGAAAACGGAAGCGCTAGACCTCGCAAACAACATAAAACGATGATTCTCTCTTTTCATCTTCATTGTATATCCGTTGTATATATAAAAGTATGTATTCTTATGTCAACCTTCAATCTTGTATATATTATAGGTAGGTGTCTTGAATTAATGAGAAAATTACGCGATTTTAATTTCGGTGATCAGTACATTTACCAAATAGAGACGTATCCATAAGGTTTTTAGCCTCTAATACCTCAGTAAAATACCAGTTTTTGAGAAAATATAATAAACTGAATCGTGAGTATTACAGTATTAAGTGTTTTTCTGTGTGGCAAGAGGAAGTTCAAGGTGATGGGAAAACTGTTTGCTATGAAATTGAGCGAGGCTTTGAATCTATATTGTCTCGTGTCAACCGGATTATCGAGACCGAGGGTTTTATAGCGAAGGTCTTTACGCACTTGTAAGTTGAAATAAGGAGAAAGTCATCATATGCTTGCACATACAACTCATCAACAAGTATCACATATAGAGCGGACTTGTAGTTGGGAGGACCGAAAGTGGTAAATCATGGGGAATCAACAGTATTCCGCTATGTCAGTTCTGTATTTCTCCATTCGCTTCCTTTAATTGCTAATTGTCGGTTGCTAGTTGTACTGTTTGCTTTGATAAGCCGCTTTTGTCTTTGAGAACGTGTAGCAAGAATAACGGTATGACAATTAAACCCTTCATCACACCAAAACTAATAATGGCGTGCTAATAAAATTGATAAAAGCTGATAGCCTTGATTTGTCATGTGCCTTTAGTGATAATCAATATTTTTGGAAACCGTATTTCCAATTCGTTAGGAATAGTATTTTGTAATGACTGTATCGGACTTGAACAATATTACGCGTAATATTAATTGCGATTTTGATTGGATTTAAATCAGGACTGTTAGATGGCCTCCATAATTTTCTAAATTGTATGCTTGAGGTCATTGTCCTCACTTTTCTGGCACGGGGTAAATTTAGACGTTGCCCTAAAGTCTGACACAAATAGAAATGCGCAGACCGCGAAAAAGATATAAATACGGGTCGAATTCCATCGTCAAAAATCATCGAGTTGATATTTATTAAATAGTTACAAGCTCTTTTAAAATAAAAAGCCTTTGAAATCAAATTACTTTTATTTCTACAAGTGTCTAGAGTTGATACAATACGGACTATTGATTTGTTCGAAAGATATTACGCAGTTACGCGAATAACGGAAAGCGTCAATCTATCGACACAACCTAGGCTCATTCGTACTTTTCTTGTCGATAAACGCTTCTTAGTTCGTCTCGAATTGACTCGTCGTTTCTTGGAGTTACGTTGAAACAAAAGGCATACTGTACCAGTACCTTTTAACAATTAATGAAAGACCATCTGTGTAAGTAATATTTTTGACTTCGATTTCTTTATAAAGATCATGCTTATTAAGGAGAACGGGGTTTTCTGTCAACTCGGAATAAAGTCATAGTGACTCGACACACCCCAACCACTAGCTACGCACCTTTAGCGTTCAATCGTAGGTGCAACTAAATAAAGGAACGCAAAACTCCAACCACTAGCTAGCTACTGTTACGCTCAGTCTAAATTTGACAGGGAAATAAACGTGGTCTTGCTTACACGCTTGCGTCAATTAAAATTTGCAAACGGCATAAATGCTGTGCTAAACTATCTAATTCAATAAATAAAAAAAATATCAATATACAGTGCAGTGCAAAAGTAATGAGAATTTTTTTTTGTGCACACAAATAAAATTCTATTTGTCAACTCGATCTTACTCCAATTAAAAGATGGTTTTGTAGAATAAATTTTACATCAATTATAATAAAATTATGCTTTCTAACTTTGGATAATTATTGCTACTAAGGCAATTTCAGTCTGAATTTTCAAAAGTGCTAGACTGGCTCTCTAAAAGTCCCAGTCCTCTATCCAATTGGAAATCTATGGAAATATGAAAAGAAGAGTTGAACAGAAGGTAAATAAATGCTCTGTTACAAAAAATAGTTGATTTCATAAAAAAAAAAAGAATTAATTAGTAGACACTTCGACTTACTTAATTAATAACATGCCTAGACATATGGTGATCTGATTACAGGATAGGGAAACGAGATCAAAGGCCAAAATTTTATAATATCCTTGATAAACTTTACACAAAATTTCAAGCCAATCCTGCTGTTAGTTGTTGAGCTGTCAACTAATTGATAATTCTCATAACTTTTGCACTGCACTGTATATTGCATCGATAATCATACTATTCTTTCCTGTCTGGTCTGATACTCCAGCTTCAGCTTAACTACAGCTAGATACTTTGTAAGCGGCGATAAACTTTGACGTGTTTAATTAATTAGGTAATTCCTCATACTGGTTCTCAGCCGCTCCTAGCAATCAAAAATCGTAGAGATAAATTAATTCCACTACCGTTTTATTTAATATTATTTGATCAACGAGCGACAACAATTTTTAACACCCTTCACCGATGGAATTTAGCGAGTGAAACAATTTCATTGTCACGATTTTTACCAATCGATGTTGGCTTCAATTAGCGTCATCAAAACAAAATTCTAACAACTATCTCTTCCAGAAATGTGCTGCCTCCGAATGTCTCTTATCTCCCTTTCTACTTGCTCACTAGATAGTCCGGTACTTTTCCCCATCGTACATGTATAGTGAGCATAAGGAATCCCGTACATATTAATATACACGTTTTGGACGCGCATCTTTATCTAATTCTTTGTGAATAATGAAGTAGACGGGGGAGTATAACACGGCATGCTAATGTAATGAATTGTCCCTGGTGGATTCAAGTCCACCGAACACTCCCAAAATTCAGTAGTCTTGTCTAGATAGTTTTGCTTCTATTCATGTACTAGCTGTCTAAAAACAGCTTTAGCAGTTATCTGTAGCTGTCAATAAAGATCTTACATTAAAAAAAAAATTGACAATGTCATGTTGAGTGACGTCTCATATGTTGGTGATGTATATTCCATCGTCTCTACGTCCCTACTATTGCAGTATTTTTATTCATATTCGTGAGTTGTTGATTGTCGACTAAAGAGCGATGTTGCGATTGCCTTTAATTGACACAGACATAAAAGAAAGTTTAGAAAGCTTAATGATTTACTCTCCTCTATGAGCATAATGAAATTGGATAAATTACTATTGCTACAACGCACAACATTATATAGCTATATTTTTGCTAAGTAAATTAAAACACGTCAGTTCGTTAATAAAATATGCTTTTAAATATCGATGACGCTAACTGAAACCGATGTCTCGACCTTTTTGCAATTTAAAAATATGGGCTTATGTCATTTCGACCAATTTCCTGCATCAGAATTAGCTCCGCTCATTCTACCGTTTGAGAGAGAACGCGCAATTGCAATTCCATTATAATAATAAGCAAGATATTGACAAGTTAATTAATTATTAAACGAAAAAATCAGGATCTTCGATTTTCTAATGAAAAAAGTAGGCAGTTTACGCCAGGGGACTATTAATACCTTTAAGTACCGTAAACCTCCGACATATGCCCGCATGAAATGTAGAACCATTGAATGAGATAAATAAACGATTGAATTGGTTCTATTTAGTGGCTATTAATATAAACTACGTCACACTTTTTTCTCGGACAGACGTACCCCGATCAATACGTGTACCCCCTACATGAGTACCCAGGATACTAAAATCAATTAGGGAAATACCCCGGGTACATATGATTAAAACTTCTCACTAGTATTATCACTAACTACTTCTGTTTGTCTGTGAACTTGCTGTGTGAATGACCATAATTAGCAGACTTTGACGTTCAGCTTGTTGCTCAGCCTTAACTTTCTCATCGCCTGTGCTAAGGTTTTCTGATACACGCAATAATCACGATATGTATCGGCCTGTGATTGCCCTGATTTCTTAGTAATAGCAAGATCGGTTAGCGGTAAACGCTTGGCAATAGTATTAACGATTAGTTAGTAAAACATATGAAAGATCTCTATTACTATTGTCCGTATAATTATGCAAGTAACAATAAATTTTGTATCATTGGTTATATTGGGGGAATGATTGATTTGAATTCAACCTCGTTTTATGGAACTGCAACAAAATTTATTGTAGAATTCTTTCATTTTCGATACGCTCCGATGCAAGGTTCTCATGCATCCTGCGTAGCGACCAAATTACACTTAAGTCGTTGTTTTATCTTCGTTGTCTTGTTTAGTCTCGGTTGTTTCTCGAACCGCACCAGTACGTCCGTTATTACGACAGCTACCGAGACTTTGAATATGCCTTTGCATATGATATTGAGAGTTGTACAACCTTTTCATCATTTTCAATAGGTTTACATTGTCTGTTGCGCGCTTTTAGGTATAATGATCAATTTGTCAGCTGCAGTCCCTAGTAGGGGCTTGAAAACCGTCGATTTGATGTTTATCGAAGTCGTTGATTCTGTTTTTAGGGCGACTTTCTCTACTGCATGAATGCATAAAGAAATAAGTCTAAAAATATGCATTGTCTACTAGCAGCAATATCACCCTTTTTTGGTGCATGTTGAATTATGGCAATAGTGCGAAACAGTGCGAGTCTTTTTACGAAGACAATACAGAGGTTAACATCTACCGTAGGTATTTGTGTCCAGTTGCATTGCATGCGAACATTAATCTCGAGGTTTTGGTAACTCCGCGAGCAGAAAAATTGGTAGTCTCATACATGTCATATTAGACATGTTTATTATGAAGCAGCTAGTGTACAGGTATATACCATGTTTGCTAGGAAGATCACAGAAGACTAGACATGAATTGTAACTTGAATTCCACGATAAATTGCTTGGATGTCCAAGAAACATTAATATTAATTAGGAATGATGTCTATTTCATGTATTTTGGAATCCTCGCTTCAATTAATTTAAATTATTATGACTATCATTATTGTTAAGTTAACCGGGGATCATGACACTCGGTGGGTTTGAACTCCGAAATATTCATTTATCTGGCTTCGTTTCGCTGAAATTTTGAGCTACAAGTTTCGTCTTGTCGCTGAAAGGTCCGAAATGGGGTCAACTCCGAAGCAGATTGCATATACATAACCTTATATGTTTGTCCATGTGCGATGTAATTAATGGTGAACAGCAAAAGGGGATTTGTCACACAGTGAGATTCAAACGGCAACCGTACACGTGATGAAATACGCTGAGAATGTATTCGAAAAATCCCAGCTGCTTATTAATATTCACCCTTTATATTTATGGTTTGCTCTAAACTTCTACGTCAAGAAACGCTGTAAACGCCAAAAAGGATAGTTGTGACTTACCAAACCATTTTGAGACAACCCAAGTTTTCCCTCAGTTATTATTATGCTTGTTTCACAAAATCCGGCTGGAGATCTTCGCACAGTTAGAGAGTAGATCATTGATAAACTAGTTTGTAACTGTCACCCGGAATATTTGGAATGTACGCGTTAATTTGATGACATGGGTTTCAAGAGGGCACATGCCTTGGTACCCAGCCATGATATCAAGTATGGTGTATAGTACATCAATACAATTATAGGTTCGAGATGTTGGCAACAGCGAAGCAGAATAAATTTCAAATCGATAATTCTTTACGCGGAAACAGCTCGCGCGACAGATCAGCTCTGGGTCATTTAGTCGACATGTAACGACAATGTCACCGACAACTTGTGCTAGCCAGGTGATAGAAACCTTGGATAATAAATCTCACTTATCGCGAGTAACTTTTATTCCCACCACAGCTAAAATTTAAATATTTGGTGTAACGGGATCATACAAACCGTCATTTATTATTTATTGTTAATTGTGACAGATTAAAACGAAATCGGATCAAGATGAAACAAAATTGTGGTTTGATTTATGAGTAAAAGAATTTTTAGACATGAAAAATTTATGATGCTTGCGTATACAACGACCGGTTCAAGAAAAAAACGGCCAATACAAAGTTTCGATTTCACTTTAATCTGTCATATTAATGTTTATTATTATTATTATTATTATTATTATTATTATTATAGTAAATATCATGTGATTACTAGTTCTGTGCCTTGTGCCTTCATATTAATATTCAGCCCACCCCAACCGAAATTTCTGCGGGTCATACAGAATCGAACAGGCAAAAGATTTTGAAAATTTACATATTAAATATAAATAGGCTTACGTAACTCCATCTCAGATGGTAAATTTATTCACATGACAGTTTTCTATTGGGCCATTTACCTGACGCCATGTCGCAGAAAGTGGGACTGTGAACCCTTCTGCGTTTTTGCATATCCCCTATTTTTGCAGTTCAAGTTTCTTGTTCTCCCTCTTTCTCTCTATTTCTCCGTGCTATTCTCTCCTCAGCTATTGCGTGGTATCATAGCGTGCTGCTACTTACCTCTACCCCATCTGCAAGAGAAACGATGCCCATTTCCCTTTCTACTCTGCCATACTAATACTCCTACACCATTCTCTCGTTTCTCTGCTCAACATTCGCTCATCTGACCGCTCAACCATCTTCAAGTGTAAAAATTGTACAAAAGTTTTGTTACATACTAATAACTAGACTACTTTTGATAAAAAAAAAACTTAACTACTTAATAATATATTACTACTTTCATAACCGCCAAAGAGATGATGCCCCGTATAGTTATGGAGGAAACTAAAAACAAAGCCGACTTACACCAGCCAAAGGCAAAGAATCGACCGCAAGGACAGGTAAGAAGAGCGAACATGGAAAGAAGTGGCGTATGAACAGACACATAGTGATGGATAATGCAAAGTGGGAAGGGAGACGGGTATAAAAGTACAACGGCAATTATAAGACGAAAATTTTTAGAAATTGGTATTGCATCCGCTTGTACATATATATACTGTTCGCAATGTTTAACCAAGAGATCATTAACTTGGTCTATATTCCATTCATCTTTGAGTTCAAGTTTTCTATTGGGTTTTCATTTCATGGCACTAACATGTATTTTCATGGGAATCTTAATCATCTCTTTATTTTATTCTTTTTTGCAAAATTCTCATTCTTTTTTTTTTTTTTTAAAATCCACAACAGCAATTAGTAGCTCTCCTGCGTGACAAGCTGGATTTAACAGACTACGAACTATACTCTAACGCTCCAAAAGATATCACATCCCGTTCAAACAGTGCGCCACCAACGCAAATTAATACTGTTAATCGATTCGATCATACAGATTATGAGCCTTCTTTATCATCCGATCCTCGTTTGGATCCTGAATACGCTGCTTATTACTACATGCATGGTCGTATGGAGCATCGTCCGCCCACAAGCCCATATGCACCGGGGCAGTCTTGGCAAACACCGTTATGGTCTGGTGATTTGGCAATAGGTCCTGGACAGGGACAGGGACAGGTACAAGGGAAGGTCAGTGGAGGACCGAGCGCAGTTAGCCCTGTTACATCAGCGACGGCAGTGGGCAGCACTAGTGGATCTAATGTTGGGGCCAATATGTCGAAAAAGTTGGAATTGTTCCGGGGGATGGGTATGTAAAGTAAAGTTTTCATAATCAGTTGTGAATTAGACGGGATAAAGTGAGCAATCGTTACGTAGAGAGTTGTTTCATGGGCATGCGGAAAGTATTTACTATAACACGATGTAAACATACCTTGACGATCATCGTAACGACGTTAGCATTAGGCCAACTTTTATTGACAAACTCTGATTCATGACTTGCCTTGCGTATGCCAAAGAAATTATTAGTTGTATCCGTAAAACATCTTTCGTATTGCGGAAGTACACGTCATGATTCAGAGTTTGCTACATTTCATTTCATCACTAACATTTCATTATCCATCTCGCAATGCGACATTTTCTCATCATTAAGCTGGCGACGACGATTTCCAAGAACAGCATCCCTTAGACGAAAGTCTTGAACCCGAGAACCATTCAACTATCAACCAGCCCGACTATACAACGGAGTCTGCTGGACAGTTCGATGCTTTCAATCCTCAAAGCACGAGCAGCGCTGCGTCGCTTTGGAGTCGTGAAGTTGCATCCCCTCCTCCACCCCCAGGAAATGATCCACATTCACCCAATAAGCGCAAGAACTTGGTAGACATGATCCAAGAAGTAAGCAGAGATATCAAACATATTTGGCAATAAAAAGAGAAATTGATAATTCATTACTCAGCTAATTTGATAATTCATTGCTCAACCAATCATATCTTTTATTTTTGTTCGTTATCGCAGGACTTTCCTCGCACACCATCTCCGCTCTATGCTCTTCAACAAGCCCAAGCTGCTCGCCAACGCCAAGCACAACTACAATCGCACGCAGATGATGCAGACCATCTCGATCTTCAGTCTCTCGATTTAGATGATCCACTCTCATATGCTGCGCATTATGGCAATTCCCGCGGCTCTGAGGAAGAGCAACTTAAAAATATTGTTAAGAATGCTCTTGATGGTGTCGATGACATGGATCCTCGCATGCCGGGAGCGTTTGCCACACCGCCTCCATTAAGAAGCAAATTTGAAACTCCCCCGCGCGCCTCTTCTACTCCACCTACTCAAAGCCATATTAGGAACCATAGTTTGGGATTTGCTCCAGAGTTTCATGGCGATTTGTCACATGCCGATTTGATGTATTGGAGAAATTTGGAGGGAACGGTATGTTGGATTGACTTTGAGCTGTATTTCATTACGGTACTTTTGCTAATTATAATTGCATTTATAGGATGATTATGAGCAAGCACAATTTCTTCGTCAGCAGACTTTAAAACAGCACAGACTGAAAATGTCATCACATCCATCTTATAACGCACTTTTTAACGATGGAGCTAGTGCAGCCAATTATTCTCCGTATGGTCTAAGTAAGCAAGAAATCATATCAACTATTTTTATTCGACCAGGTTTGTAATAACTACATGCTAAAATTTTTTTCGGTACTTTTCTCAAAGATGACAGCTACCCATCGGTCTGGGATGCCCGCGAAGATACTGCTCTAGGCCGCAATATTTTCAACACAGACGTGGCATACAATCGGCAAAACTCTCTTGGCCTTAATCCTACTCGCAACAACTATGAATATTCCAAATTTCAACAAGCACAGTTTGGCATGGGTCGTGATTCTTTACTCTCTTCTACAGATTATGCAACTGCCAAAACCGGTCAATACTATGGTTCCGGTACTTTGGCCAATACGGCATTGGGCCCCGTCGGTAATCTGCCCAGTCCGTTAGGACCTCAATCCAGAGCTAACAACTTTGCAGAAAAGTCTTTGCAGTTGCAGTCGCAAAGATTGTTTTTACAGCAACAGCAGTTGAAGCAACAGCAGCAAATGTTATATGCTAAAGAACAGTTGTTGAGACATCACCATTCTGCAGAGTATCTAAACGGGATCTCTGGATTCGGCGTATCAAACAATAGAAGAAGCCAGGACTTGAGTTCCAGTTTGTCCGATCCGGGACATTGCATGCGAAGTCCATTGTTGGAAGAGTTTAGAAACAACAAGAATAAAAAGTATGAATTAAAGGTGAGTTGAATAATAGATCAGTTGACATGATAAATTCATTCTTAACGATATTAATATTTCTCTTTTGCGTTTTTGAACAAAGGATATTGCAAGGAATATAGTTGAATTTAGTGGTGATCAACACGGTTCTCGCTTTATTCAACAAAAACTAGAAACAGCTAATAGTGAAGAAAAGCAACTTGTTTTTGACGAGATCCTTCCTAATGCGTTACAATTAATGACCGATGTGTTCGGCAACTATGTCATTCAGAAATTCTTTGAGCATGGAAGTCAAGTACAAAAGACCGTCTTGGCCAAGCAAATGGAAGGACATGTTCTGTCTCTTGCGTTGCAAATGTATGGTTGTCGAGTAGTTCAAAAGGTTAGCCAGATCAACAATCACGCATACAAGTGCCTGAATGTATACTAAATCATTATGACTATATATTTTTTGTTCGTTTTAACGTTGAATTCAGGCTCTCGAACACGTTCTCACGGAACAGCAAGCGGCGCTTGTCAAAGAATTGGATGGTAATGTGTTAAAGTGCGTCAAGGACCAAAACGGCAACCATGTTATACAAAAAGCTATAGAGCGTGTTCCTGCTGAGCACATTCAGTTCATTATTAATGCTTTCCACGGACAAGTATTCAATTTAGCGACACATCCTTATGGTTGTCGTGTTATTCAACGGATGTTTGAGCATTGTACCGATGAGCAAACGGTATGTCACCACCAGCTATAGTTTATTTCCATGAACGGTTTACAAGATCCTAACTGCTTTATCATCCACAATAGAAACCTCTGCTGGAAGAACTTCATCGCTTCACTCACAATCTTGTTCAAGATCAATACGGCAATTACGTAATTCAACATGTACTCGAGAGAGGCAAACCAGCAGACAAATCGCTTGTGGTGAGCAAAGTTCGTGGAAATGTCTTGCAAATGTCTAAACACAAGTTTGCGAGCAACGTAGTTGAGAAATGCGTAGCTTACGGTAGCAAGAGAGATCGACAGCTATTGATCGAGGAAGTTATTACAACCAAGCCCGATGGGTAGGTTATTGAAGAGCATTGGTATAGCAAGTGAGACGTTGCGTTTATTGACTTTTTGTTTATTTTAGAAATTCACCGTTGATATCAATGATGAAAGATCAATACGCAAACTACGTCGTACAGAAAATGCTCGATGTAGTAGATGGAGAGCAGCGTGATCTTTTAGTCGCCAAGATTAAGCCACACTTGCAGTCATTGAAGAAATACACTTATGGCAAACATTTGATATCAAGTAAGTTTACAACATACAATGTTCACCTGATCATTGATCAAAAAACGGCCATACCTAATCGCTGTCTGTCCGTCCATTCGAAACAGAGGTTGAAAAACTAATGATCTTAACCGAAAACCAAAGGACTCAACAAGCGCTCCCCACAATGACAACCCAGTCGATTACCTCATCGCTTGAGATGACTAGCTCGCTGTCCCCCACCAACCCCAGCACGCCCCTTGGAACAGGAAACAATACTCCTGCTACTTCTTCACCTTCCATTGGACCTGAAACTGTATCTGCTGGATGTCCTGCACCTGCAATGACTACAGCAGTTACTAATATGCCACCATTGTCTAGTGGGGCTGTTATGGATAGAATCGAGTAGATATCAAGATTGAATGACGTGGTGGCGAGGGTAGTTGTATGATATAGCTGTTATTTTATTGTTCTTTCTATTATAGTCTTTGTGAGTTCGGTTACAGTCATGTCGTTAAAAATTGGCTTTCAGTTCCGCTATGCGAATGTAAGAAAGAGAAGTCCAAAGACTTTTTTAGAAGAGATTTGTTTATTATTGTAATGTATATGTATCTTTGGCTTTTGATAATATCCACTTCATTTGTACCTATTTCATACTCGGCACTCTTAGAAGAGTGTCTTTACTATAGTTTTTCTTCTGAATTGTAGAATTTATTTTCTATATATTTCTTCTTGGCTTCTGTAGTATTTGGCGTAGATGTCGGGCACATAATGTTATATTGATTATTCGAGGACAACCGAAACAATGGTTGTTTTCCACTTAGTATTGCAAATATTGCATGAACTTTTTATATTATTATTTTTATTTCTTCTTTGACCTTCCCCTAATTTACGACAAGTCGTTTTCTGTTTCGTCCCTGCTGAATAGCAGTAATAGAATTTATCTGCTCCTGTCTGTACAGGGAGGAAACTTCTTCTTCTTCTTCTTCTTCTTTATACAAACTTTATATTTTTTTTCTTTGAACATATTCTTTTGATTTTTACTGTACATGGTTTCTGTCCATATACAATATATATATATACGTATATATATACATACATATATAGATATACTTTTGTTTATTTGAATGAACTTCCCACGTCGGTATATCTATAATATTTTCATCCATGGCTTAATGATTGTGGTGACCTACCTAAAACCCCATCTTTTCAAAGCACGCGTTCCGCACCACTTTCCGTTGAGATACTCTGTGCTCGTCGAGATCTATTTGAATAGTTTGTGTCAAATTCGTTAGCAGGAACGTACATTTTGTAATATGTCGCATACGGCAGCGTTTAAAAGAATGAAGATTTCGATTGTATGGCGAGTATATTATTAAATGACTAACTAGGTTATAGGCCAATTCCCAGCCATTGAATATATAAAGCACAGAACACTTTATAAGGTATTATGTCCTGCTTCATTTCGCGTTTGCGATTCAAAATGAGCTCCAGCTTTACGCGAAACAGATTTTCGCGTCTTCAATTTTTGTTGCCCGATCAGTAATAATAAATCGACAAATCAAGTTATTCGAGTTGGTTTTACTACTAACGAAGTTAATTTAGGAAAACCTGGTTACTGGCTATAACAAAGTTTTAAATCTGTCAACTAATAAGAATATAACGAACTTCACTATATTATACTGTATTATAATAAAGTTCGTTATAATTTCGTCACGAACTTCATACTTAAAGTCTAATCTCGTATGTTTGAATGTTGATAATTCTGTTATAATCACTTTTTCCAAAAAATCTCTCAAACAAGTGTAGAATTAGTACGACAAATGTTGATGTGTAGTACTAGTCGGTTTACAATAAATTTGCTTTAGTATTAGTATTAGTATTAGTCTAAATTCACTATCATTATATCGAAAATTGGCGAGTAATACAAATGGCACGTGATTGATACTTCCTTATAAAGAGGAAACCTGGATATAACGAAACCTGGATATAGTGAATAAAAGTAGCGGAACAGACCACTTCGTTATATCCAGGTTCACTGTGTAGTACGGATGGATTTTAATATATCATTAATAATCGTTAGATCATCAATTCTTACATCCACATGTGGATGGCTCCATCAAGCAACGCCCGTAGGAAGATCCCGCGGATCCCGCGGGCTCCGTTTATATTTACGTCCCTGCCCATAACCGTATGACAGTTTCCGCATTTATAAACTCTTCTTCCGCCGATGTTTTGTATGTTTCCACAATTGCTGTAGGTCTTGGAGGTGTACGCCTCATCCTGGATGATTACCATCGCGCCTGTTTCCTCGGCCTTGTGTTTCAGCCGCTGCCGGAATGCATAATGTGACCAGGTGAGCATGCTCCGAACCACTTTCGAATTGATTTTTCGTCAATCTCGTTTCACCATGTTCTTTACATCGAATTCAGTTATGATCACGACATAGTTTTGGACCAAGTGATTCACCGTTTTCTTGTGAAGCTCATTACGTAGATTTTTGATCTTTCGAAAGATTCTCGCGATCGCGCATCTAATCTCTTCGCCTTTCTTTTTTTTTTTTTCGCTTTGACGTGGAATTGTTTTAGAATATCTCTCTGGGAACTAAACCTGTCGGTGTGTAACCCTAATCGAACTAATTTCTTTCCAATTTCTGTTACACCTTCAGTAGGTGAGTACGTGACGAACGGGGTTTGCACCCCAGGGTCAATGGCTACGAACTTTTCGTGAGCTTCCCTGTTCCGTTTTGGTCGATCATTTTTGACAAAATCGGAATTTCAAAAAGTTTCTGGGCGAATATCATGGTGCCATACATGACTAGCACTTGAGTATATCTAGATTAAAGACAAGCAGACAGAGAAAGAAAACGATTAAACCAAGGGGGAACTTCAATGTTGACAAAAAAGAGAATACTTGAAAAACATGGCATGTATGGATTAATATCAATATTAACATTAATATACTTTCAGAAAAATTCGCAGTACTGTTTTGCCGTGGGATAATAAGTGTCCAATGCTAAACACATGGAGATTCTCATAGAAACCCAATCCAAGAAAAGGATGGGAATATATATATGTATGAAAAACCCTTTACGTATTAGTATGCAACATTTTCTCTACATTTATGAACTTTGAGATGTAATGTGTGATTAATACTGAACAGCGATATAGAACGGATTCTCATGGATTACGCAAAAGAAATAATAACCATTTCGCTGCTGTGCATGAATATCTTTGTATTTTGTCATCGACATTTTAATAACAAAATGTAAACAATATGCGGGAACCGACAAACCTTCGATTGTTTATAATTGGCCAAACTTGCATAATGACGCGTTTCTGTGTTACCTAACATTTGGTCAGTTAGCATATGCGAGCACAGAAATATCTTTAGAACAAGCTTATTTTCTTTACAGCTTGTAGATCAGATTCGGTGCTTGCAATTCGAGTACAATAAAATACAGTTTTAATTATCACAAGGTTTAATAAATCACCTAATGAATTTGTGTGATAAACCAACGTTGGAAGCGCTGACTTTTCTAGTTTCCCAAGAGACTCAAGAGAAATTTATAGACTACTTGTGTACCGCATGGGGTGTAAGTAAAGAGCCTGAGGAGCCTGAGCCTGAGCCTGAGGAGCTTGAGAAGGAGAATGTAAACGACGACTTTGCAGGCGAGAGCATTGTGAACGAGAGCCTGGAACATTCGCAGGATTATCTGGAGTACTTGCAGGAGTACTTGCGAGAATACTGGATTGAAGTTACTGCCGTCACTGTAGTTGTTGCTGTGTTGCTATTATTTATTGGAATATGGTTGATAAGGAGTAAGCGTGTGTATGTATACCCGGGTGTTATTTTATGATTCATTTTTACTGGTTGAGACTATGATCAGCCATTGACTTGTTAGTTCTTTGATTTACTAATTGTCGGCCAAGTAATTGATTTACGCATTCTAACACTCAACCATCTTTTTATCTGTCTCTAATTTTCTCCTCTATTGTTTTACAACTAGCTCTCGCGTAAGACTGGTGAACTCTAAATCGATACGAGAATCATCCTTGCATATACCACGTCCACTCAAATGGCACGCTTATGTGTGGCCATTTGCGATCCTTTATCCTTTATGGAGCTATTTGTACTTTTTTGCGTATGATGAATTTATCAGATCAGAAGAATACACTTTCCTAACGCTCGGGACATTGCTTACGGCAAACGCCTTAATATTTTTGACTTGTCAATGGAGTGTGAGGCTGAAAGCATTCTTTACATGCAGAAAAGCTTCGGTGAGTTTTCAATCCTATAAATGGTTTCGGAATAGAGCAGTACATACTATTTGTTTGGAGATTCGATATGCATGGCTTATGGTGAAACATTCTCGCCTTTTTTTTTTTTTTTAGGAGACTGACGTTCAGAATGCAAAAGTCATCAAGATTATTCCTACTCCCCATAAGGGTAAAGGTGAATTGTGTCCTATTAATCATTACAAGGTATGCCTTTTTTCTTAATACGTATATCGTCTCAATCGCAAACTGGTCTGTTAACTCCCTTCTCCTATCATTATAGAATGGAGAGATTTCCTTCTTTTATCAAAGAAAGAAATACATATGGAATGAAGATAAGAAGTATTTCAGTAAGCTCTTATACCCGAATGATCTTCAACCGATTCTTTCAACGTATCAACGTAGTCAAGGATTAGAAACACGTCAAGAGGTTGATGCTGCAAGGGAGAAATATGGTTTCAATCGGTATGGGCGACGTTAATTGATTTGTCGTTCATTTTGCTATATTGCCTCGTTGTCTAATTATCAATGACGTCCGATTGAATCAGCTTCGATATACCTGTACCGACATTCCGTCAATTGTTCAAGGAGCACGCTGTCGCCCCATTCTTCGTGTTTCAGCTTTTTTGCGTTGGTTTATGGGTCATTGATGAATATTGGTACTATTCTGTATTTACTTTGATTATGTTGGTAATCTTTGAGTCGACTGTCGTATTTCAGGTAATTTCATGCTTCTAATGGTCTATGGAAATATTCGGATCATGGTTTAAAACTCCAAGTTCTAACACTTTCCGGTGATGTTATCGTGCTCATTGATTTAGCGGCTGAAAACACTGAATGAATTTCGCACAATGTCTATTAAACCTTATCCTATCCACGTGAGACGTCAGCATCGTTGGATAACAGTGAATTCAGATGAATTACTTCCTGGTGACTTGGCATCCGTTGGTATGTCGCCTGTCGTCGAAAGAGTTTTCGGTTTAAGTCTGATATACTAATATCCGCTTGATTTTAGTTCGCACGGACGGGGAGAGTGGAGTTCCATGCGATATGATTCTAATAAACGGTTCATGTATAGTGAATGAGGCTATGTTATCAGGAGAATCTACACCACTATTAAAGGTTAGGATTAATAACTGTGGTTGCAATGATTAAATACATATTCGATACCCGCGACCCTCATAATGAATGTAATTGCAACGAAACACCATGATATAAAAACCAACTATTATTAATGCGGTTATTCACGTACAGGAATCGATTAATCTTCGTAACGGAAATGACATCCTTGACATGAATGTTACCGATAAGAACAGTATGTTATTTGGAGGCACCAAGGTACTCCAAGTAACTCCACCTCCAAGGGAAGATCCTCTGTCAGGTAGCTATTATTATTAAATAAACAAGAGAATAAATTTCAGACCCCCTTTTTTATTCTCACTTTTACTAATTTCTCGCTTGACCAATCCACATGTTCTTCCAACTTCACTTTAATCAGCTCCCGATGGCGGGTGTTTGGCTGTTGTGCTTCGTACTGGGTTTGGAACAGCTCAAGGAAAACTCGTGCGGACTATGGTATTCAGCACTGAACATGTGTCTGCCAACAATTTGGAGGCTTTCTTCTTTATTGTATTCTTGCTCATATTTGCACTTACTGCTGCTGGTTATGTATGGAACGAAGGTATGATGATAATTTTTTAGTACAAGAATCAGATATCGCACTTCACAATAGAAAATTAACGCCTTTGTGATTGTTCCGACATTCAGGCGTGAAAGTCGATAGAAAACGATCAAAATTAATATTAGAGTGCATCATGATTATTACTTCTGTCGTTCCGCCCGAATTACCGATGGAACTGTCATTGGCAGTAAATACTTCTCTAGTGGCATTAGCTCGTTATGGTGAGATGCAGTATTTTATATGTTATGTAGAATATATTAATATCTCTCGCTAATTACTGATTTTACACGCCTTTTAAGCAATTTACTGCACCGAGCCTTTTAGAATCCCATATGCTGGCAAAATTGATATTTGTGCATTTGACAAGACTGGTACATTGACACGCGAAGATCTCGTAGTGGAAGGAATAGCCGGAATATAGTGAGTAAATTTACTATTGCACGTAATATTTTGACTACTCGTCTCCTTGAATGTGTGCTTACTTATATCACGTAATTGCTAGTCCTGAGGATCCATTGACACTGGTAAAACCGACAGAAGCACTCCGAAACACTATTCAAACGCTTGCAACGGCACATGCACTAGTCTTGCTTGATGACGACGAAATTGTTGGCGATCCAATGGAAAAGGCCACCCTTGAAGCGCTCGAATGGAAACTCGGTAAAGGTATGTCAAGAAAGTGATTGTAGAATATAACGAATATACGTGGGGTTTAATAATGCCAACCAATTATATAGGCGATGTTGTCACTCCAGCAAATAACCAATCCCACAAATTTCAACAACGCTCCGCTCTTCGAATCAGACGTCGATTCCAGTTCTCATCTGCCCTTAAGCGTATGTCTAGTGTTTCTACTATGCCTACTCCCAGAGGATCAAAGGTTTTTGTGGCTGCCAAGGGTGCACCCGAGATAATTAGACACAAGTGTAATTACGTGCCTGACGATTATGAAACGACTTATAAATTTTTTACTCGGAGAGGAAGTCGTGTGCTGGCTTTGGGATATAAATATATTGAGAAAGAGTTGTCCGCTGATGAGGTAAAAACATAAACACATCAAATGTTAGCTATGTAACATACATTAAATTTTCACGTATCTTGTTTTTAGATAAATGATCTTTCGCGAGACGAGGTTGAGAATGGTCTTGTTTTTGCTGGATTTTTGATTTTCCAATGCCCATTGAAAGAAGATGCTGCCTCGACTGTGAAGATGTTGAATGAGTCTTCTCATCGCGTAAGTAATTTACTTATGATTGGTGGGAGGCGCCGACAAATTACTTGTCGAATACTAAATGTTGAACATATTGTGAAATCTTAATCCTTTAATTCATAGACTATCATGATAACTGGAGACAATCCATTGACAGCTGTTCATATCGCCAAGGAAGTAGAGATAGTCGAGCGAGATGTCTTGATACTTGATTATCACGAAGAAGAGAATAAAGAAGGTTAGGCTATAGGACTGTTCACAATGTTTGTTCAATTTTACGACTCTTTATGCACCAGAACTTACCAGACACTTTTGTTTTAGAACTTGTATGGAAATCGGTCGACGAAACCAAAATTATCCATGTAAATTCTGCCGAGCCGTTTGATAAAGCTATCTTCCGTGACTACGATATATGTGTCACAGGCGCGGCATTGGCTCAATATGAGAACAAACCGTTAGTCAAAGACTTATTAATCAATACATGGGTATATGCCCGAGTATCACCCGGACAGAAGGTAAGCCGATTGAAAGCATATGATTGTTAAGTGCTTTAACAAAATATTGTTTAACCGTTCACAACCAATCCAGGAGTTTATCCTAACAAGCCTTAAACAATTCGGTTATACGACATTAATGTGTGGTGATGGTACAAACGACGTCGGAGCATTAAAACAAGCACACATAGGCGTTGCCTTACTGGACGGCAAACCGGAAGATCTTAAGAAGATCGCTGAACATCAGAAGATGCAAAGATTAAAGGATATGTACGAAAAACAGCTCCAGTTTACAGCAAAGTTCAACATGCCACCACCACCACCCCCACCAGCCATTGCTCATCTGTATCCACAGCAAGCTCGACAACAGGCGACCCGGCAAAATGGACAGCAACGGAGAAATCCTCAGACTCCTTCGGTATGATGAATCAATTAGGTAAGGAGAGTATTTTATTGAGACTAAATTTTCCTTTGGTTTTATAATTAGGTGGAACAAATGATGGAACAATTACAGAACCTTGATGATGAGCCGCCGACTATTAAACTGGGTGACGCTTCTGTTGCGGCGCCGTTTACTTCAAAACTCGCAAATGTTGTAGCAAGTAAGTAATTTACAATTATTCCTGTTCAGTGATTATTAAGTATTCCGTTAGTCGTGGCTCACCAATATGATATATCTTCGTCTTACAGTCAGTAATATTGTTAGACAAGGACGCTGCACACTCGTTGCTACTATTCAAATGTACAAGATTCTGGCATTAAATTGTCTGATTTCCGCTTACAGTCTGAGTGTTCTTTATTTGGAGGGCTTTAAATATGGTGATCTGTAAGTCATAAATGGATAACATATTGGTGTCATTCGACTTGATATTTGACCGTTAAACCTCATTGTTGCTCAATTTCCAGACAAGTTACGATATCAGGAATACTACTAGCTGTTTGTTTCCTATGCATCTCAAAAGCAAAGGTACGTGTCCATTTAGTTCGACTATGTTAATAAGCTGCTCGCTCATTTTTCATTTGTTCTCTCAAATAGCCGATTGAAAAATTATCCAAAGAACGACCGCAAGCAAATATATTCAATTTCTACATAATATTATCGATTCTTGGTCAATTTGCTATTCACATCGCATCCCTTGTGTACATTCTCGACTTGGTCTATAAACATGAACCGTAAGTACAATCGTCTGTTGTTCTCATACATGTACACGAAGATATTTCGCTTTCCTTTAATAATGCGAAATGACAAATTTTAGACGAAAGGAAGTTGATTTGGAAGGCGAATTTGAGCCTAGCCTGCTGAACACAGCCGTATATTTGATATCGTTATCAATGCAAGTCGCTACGTTTGCTATAAATTATCAGGTACGCGTGTTCAAGTTGTCATAAAATTGGCGTATCATGTAAATGAATCAACAACTCATGATGATAATGTATACTCAGGGCCATCCATTCAGAGAAAGTCTTCAAGAAAATAAAACACTATATTATGGTTTGTTGAGTGTTGGCGGAATCGCTCTCTCCGGTGCCACTGAATTTGTACCAGAAGTCAACTCTGCGCTACAACTGGTTCCAATGACAACAGAGGTAAATGTTATAAAGTTTATCACAGTAATTTAAAGACTATTGTTGACTAATGCATTTCTTTAGTTTCAAATGAAACTCACGGCCACGATCTTGGGAGATTTCTTCGCATCATACTTGGTTGAAATAGTATGTAAATTCTTCTTTTCTAACAACAAACCAAAGGATATTGCAAAGCGAAGAGAAAAGAAGGAAAAGAAGGAAAAGAAGCAAGAGGAGTAGTTATAACAATGCCTCCAACAAGTGGAAAATTGTGATGATTGAATCAATTATTATTTTAGTGGTCGCCTCTTCGAAATAAGGACGTCTATATTGTAGTCAGCTGTATTTTCATAAAAATTCCCTTCTACCAATAATTAAATAGAATCTTTTTTTTTATCATGCAAAAGTTCATAGACTTACATAAATAGAATAAAATCTACTTGCACAAATTAGAGCATTTGACTTTGAAGCTGTTTCTTTTTATTAGTTTTAATCACTCCTAACAACCAAATCAGATAGATCAACTTCCGCCCCCAATTCCTTCGCGAAAGGACTAGCTTTGTAAAACTGCCTACAATAGATCAAGTGAATTGCTTGTTAAACGAATGAAATGCGGTTCTGCTGGCTTTCTCTATGCACTTACTCTGGGAATCTGAAACGGTAGATTGGTGGCAGTTGTGCTTCTCCAAACAACGTCCTATGGAAATGTAGATTATTACGTTCAATTGACCTAAAAATATGCATCTAATACATTTCACGCGCTCGTGTTGGATACATACTTATCCTTGGCTTCTTCTATTACTAGAGCCGTATGTTCACTCGATCGCCGTTTGCTCTCTGTTTCTGGAATCATACCCGATTCTATCCACTAAGGTAAAGGATGGTAAATATAACGAAGAGTATCGATAAAAAATATGCTGCTTTACAATTGTAATATTACTGTGTAATTGACAAGCTTACCGCGGTGATCGGATGTTTACTCTGACAGAGAAGAGTGCGAAACAATTAAATCAACGGCAGAAGAGTCAAGATACATTCCGACATCATACCTGATCACAAATACTTAGTCTTAACATTTATACCTCACGACTCCTCACAAAGTATTTATCAACATTATACCACACAATTCCAATAGCTACCAATATCAACGAATTCCTCCAGGCTTTGCCCGTAAAGCCTATATATTATATCATACAGCCGATCAGCATTATAGAAGCAATAGACATTCGAACTATCAACTGCAATGGCTGTCCCTTGGCACACGTTTGACTGATAGCACCCACTCTACTGACCTTCTTTTGGCAGCTCGTCATTCGGCGGCTCTTGATGTTCTTCGTGGTGTGAGACTCCACTTGTAGAGGCTGAACTTGCATAAAAGCGAGAATATGATGGAGTGCGGGATACAAGTGACAGAAGACGGTAAGTGCGGAGAGTAGGCATAATTCTCAGAAGAACGAGACAATTGGGGAGGGTTTATGCGTTTTCAATCAATTTTTATTCCCGTGACTTGGTATTACTATTACTCTTTGCGTGATTTAATTTTAAAAGCCACACAAAAAAATGCCGAGCACGTTTTTATAGCAGTTTTCAAGATATTGTCGAAAATTATGGGGACGAATTTTCACATTATTAACATGCGCATTAATAAGAGTCGTTACTGATGAGCGGCGCTTTGCTAGCAGTCCATGTTTCCCCAATCAAGTACTACATTGCGTGCTGTCAATATCAAAAATGTCAAATAATAACAAAATTGAAAAGATTAAAAGGTAAAAGAGTTGAACTTGTTAAAATAACCTCAGCATACTTCTAAATTCATTAATCTTTTTAGCTTTGTCTTAGCTGACTAGCAGCAAACGAGACAGCGAATTTACAGGAATAGCTCAGCGAATTCTTTTTTAGATTGAATAGTACGTCAAGTACAATTTTACCAGCGCGGAAAAATATTTCAGTTTCGCTTACTATTACTATGTGATCATTCCGTTGTTTTTTTGTTAGATTAGTATTAGCCCGTATTTAGCAAATCGATATAAAGTAAAATGTCTCAATTATTTGTGGGGTTAGTATTATTAATTATTAAATCTGGATCATAAAGACGAGCTTGCTTGCAATCTTTAGCAGATATTTTCTTTTCAGCGCCAAGATCCAACTAGTGAACAGATGTCCACTAATGAGACAGCCGTAGTAAGGAAAGCGAGCTCAATCTCAATGAGATTTCGGAAAAATCAACTGTTCTTTCTTTGTCTGCCAGTCACAATAAATTATAAATTTTTGTAGCATACACGATATATTGAAAATCCGTAACAAGTACACAAATCTTTTGTTTTTACCCTTGGCGGGTGTATGCTAAGCAATTCATGCATACTATCAAGCTTAACGTTTCGGTTTATTAAGCATCGTGAGCTATAGGAAATTGAACAGATAAGTGGGACGCGTATAATAATAATGGTAGTTTGCATGATTTGACATTTAAACACAGGTAACTATTGGATTCACGAGAGTGATGGCAAATACTCAGATAGTAATGGGCTTTCCTAACCTCAATATCTTGGCTTTACTACAGTGCCTACTCAAAGGTCTCCGACCACCCCTTAAGTTTTTGTCGATCGTACATAACGCTATAGTCAACCATCAGCAAACGCAATGAAATTTTAGCCATTATTTGCGCATCTTCTAGCCTATATTCTCGCAAAATTTCGTTGCACATTAATATGTAAGATTTTGAGTTTGCTTATGCCTGAATTTATCCAATCGAAAACGAACAATTGAGCGTTACGACAAAAATATTCAAAATTTAATAACTGCCCAACCGTTTGCGCTATGAACAAGATCTCAATTGAGTTTTGTAGCAATTTACTTGTAGTTTTAAATGGTCGGGTATTATTACATAAAAATTTTTTGTCATATTTTTCAAGAGAGCACATATCCATTTTGCAGATTGTTAGTTGAAACGCGCAATCACATTCGCATATACAAGAGGAAGAATTTGGGACTCGGTCTTGCGTTTATTAGTAATTATGACTGAATTTGAGCGCGGAATTATTATTGGAGCATGGCTGTTTGACCATTCTGAACGGGAAATTGAAGCCAAAATTGGCTATGCCAAAAGCACAATACATGACACAATAGAAAGATATTGTGATACTGGTGGTGTCCACATAGTGGCCACCATTACTCACTAACAGGGACAAGCGGCATCTTGTAAGGATTGTTCAGTCCAATCGCCAACAATCTGCAAAACAGGCCCACAATGACTTTGTCCAGTCATCTGGAACTGTTGCCAGTCTTTCAACAGTTAGTATGAAGCAGGTTATCATGGTCGAGTTGCTGTAAGAAAACCACCCATTTCAGTCAAAAACCATCAAGACCGATTGGGATGGTGCAAAGACACCAAGAATGGACAGATGAGCAATGGAAAAAAGTCATCTGGAGTGACACTGTTCCAAAGTGATGGCAGAACTCGTATATGGAGACTCCCAAAGGAGAAATATGATGTCAACTGTGTTATTCCAACAGTTAAGCATGGTGGTGGAGGGGTAATTGTATGGGGTTGTTTCGCATGGCCCTCTGTCAGAGTTGAAGGAATAATTAACAGTCAGAGATATATATAGACATTTTGAATGCACATTTAATACATTTTATGGAAGGACTTGAAGGGAAAATTGTTGATTACGAATAATGCTTCAGTCTATAAAGTAAGTTGACAATGGCATTCTTTGAAGATTCAGACATAAATCTGATGCAATGGCCAGGACAGAGCCCTGACCTTAATCCCATTGAACATATGTGGGACGAGCTTGAACGACGTATTAGACAACAGGACCCAGCACCAACGTTTGAGCAAAAACTGGCTGAATTCTTCAAGAATGGAAGAAAATCCCAAACACCATATTTCAAAATCTAATTTTAAGCATGAAACGTAGAGTAAAAGCAGTTAGACATGCTAAAGGTTATGCAATCAAGTATTAATAAAATTTTTATTATATTTTGCTTGCTTGAATACTATTCTGATACTTTTTTGCCGCATTTTTACATAATAAATTTTATAATTTTATTTCTCAGCAACTAAGCAAGATAACAGCGCGAAAATTTTGTATTTGATTAAGACTTTCAAATGCTTTCAAATGAATATTAATTTGTATGGTGTCATAATATAACTTTTTTATGTACTCCTTTTTAAACGGTTGGATTGCGAAACATAATTTATCGATTTTGGTTAGGCATAAGCAAACTCAAAATCTTACATATTAATGTGCAACGAAATTTGCAGGAATATAGGATAGAAGATACGCAAATAATGGGTAAATTTTCATTGCGTTTAGATGGTTGACTGTAGTGTTATGCGCGATCGACGAAAAATTTAAAGGGTGGTCGGAGACTTTTGAGTAGGACTGTACATGCGACAACTCCTAATGAAAGCACTTCTTATCCGCAATATCCGCTAACAGCGATGAGAATAATTATTACATGTATCGGCAAATATGTCTACTAGAACGGTAGTTATTAAACTTGCAGAAAGCCCATATGTGACACTTACAGTTTGTAAAGAAAAAACCGGAATAGGGATTTTATTCACTGTGCCCCAATTACAATGAATGAACCAAATTAAAATTACATGATTTATAGTTTATCTGTGAGTTGAAACCAACAGATTTTATTCGTTCTTCCCTATTTTCAATAATAAGTTCACAACATTTTTTCGTGGATGCTATAAGATTAATTAGAGTAGTTTCTGGAATATCCCTCCATTTGTCCACCATAAAATGCTCCAGCTTGTCAAGACTCTTGGGCATCTACTTCTCCACATTAGTCTTGACAATCACCCAAAGATTTTCAATGGGATTTTAAATCAGAATTATTTGAAGGGCCAATTGATAACTTCCGGAATGTTTTTTTTTTTTTTTTTTTTTTGAGGGTAGGCCTTAGCAAGATGACTAGTATGCTTTGGGTCATTGTCTTGTTGAAACTGCCATTTGCCTCGAAGCATTTGATTAATCTCCGGAAGGTGCCCTGAATGATTTCTACATAGAATTTGGCATCCATAACCTGCTGAAAGCAAAACAAACTCATTTTTGTTAAACAGGTTGGTTGCCCTTACGCCAATGTTCTTCGACTCCCTTTTCTGACAATTTGTTCGCCAAAAATGGTGTTGAAATTGTAGTATCCCGACGAATAAATTGACCGACTGCTGTTGAGCAATCTTCTTGGGCAGTTATTTCCACCAGCATACTGCATTGTTCCAGTTTTTTGAAAGGGAAATCCGTGTGCATGCATGTATTTCAGCACCATTGTGCACTCCCTCGTTCTACAAATATAATATAGTTTGCTGTTGTTGTTCGTGTTTCGAAGTAGCCATTATGTGGTTAAAATGAGTTTTTTTTGGTCGCGAACAGCATTTTATTTTATGTCTAAATGTCATGTTTATTTTGCACTTTTACGCATCGAAAATTATTTATAAATTGAGCATATAAACGCATCGGTAAAATTCCGGTTTTTTTCTTAACAAACTGTATTAGTATTAGTATATAATATAAACTTTACCATATAACCAAGTCAGTTAACAATGGCTTGACGTTACGGTCACACAGACGTTCGGTTATTAGCATTAGTATTAGTATAATATTAATGTATTCTACTAATCGATGGTTCCCGTGTATCTTCAAACAAGAGAGAATTCGTTCATTTAAATCCTACTTACTTTGTTGCAAGAATGCTCTGTCTTGTCCAAGAAACTGCTGAACACGTGAATAGTGGGAACTTTGATTGGCTGATTTTTCCGTTAATTGGTTTCAGGATCCAATTTTTGTGCTTTTTATGAACGAAAAAATGGCCCGAGACAGACTAGGCAGAAACAGAGATGTCTCGACGTCAGTTGGAAACACAAATATTGGCTATTCCCCAGACTCGACTGCATCGGGGATGCCCCCACTTCGGCCTTCGCAGGAACATGTTTCTGTGAATCAGTTTAACGCGGCAGAAGTTTCTACTTTTCTGAATAGAAGTAAGGGATTGAAGTAATGTGCTGAGAATTTGTAGACGATTCATGACCGCGTTTAATTGAGTTACTGCATTGGACTGTTTATAGGTTGGAAAGAAGCACTAAATCAATTGTATGATAGCAGTCTTCCTGAAGCTGGTAAAGATATGGCAGTTGATAAGTATTTAGTGTTGAAGTTTGTTTTTTACATGTATCTTAATTACAGCATGAATGGGCTGACGCAATGGAATCTTCTTTTAGAAAAACCAGTTTCGTATAAGAATTTGGAGAAAGCTTGGGGGGGTAAAGGTTGGGCACAGAAAGGTGAAGTAAATTAAACAGTGATATAATAAGTAATACCAAAGAATATTATTATTAATTACTGCTAATTATCATTGTTTCATAGCCATTAACTCAAATTTCTATAACCGATGCAGGCAACGTGATGGCAAACGGGCAAGATTTTCTTACTGAACTTCGCAAATCATCTCTGACTCAACAATCTTCAAACGTGCAATCAGCAACAACAACAGCAGCAGCAGCAAACACCAATGCTAGCATCAACACTAATGCCGCCGCTGCCAACACCACGACAACCGCCACCAACACCACGACAACGACAACAACAGCAGCTACTGCAGCGACAACAACAGCGGCAGTAGCAACCACCAAGTAAACAATTTTCTCCTCATCTTTTTCTGCTATTTTTTACTCACAGTTGTGGTATAAATGTCATTTATTTTTAACAAGTTCCTTTAGTAAGCGAAAGAAAGTTAACGGTAGGGCTCGGGATGTCTAAAGCATATGACACAGTTTCAATGGAGTCTTGGCATAAGTGCTGTGACAATGGTGATGACAACGGGTTGGATGATGATATGATGCCGTGATGCTTCCGCTCTTTTTCTCAATAGATTTAGGCCTGGTTTATCGTTTCGGTTTTCGTTGGTTGGTTTGTGTCTCCCTGTACATTTGTAAAAATCGAAAGAATAGATGTACAACATTCGGACTCAATTAACTTTCAGATTGCTGTGCAATTGTAGTTTTTATCATTGTTAACTATAAGCTCATGTTAGATAATATGATATTTGCTCATTCTTTTATAGTAGATTTGCTTATGAGACTCTTGTAACTCTGTTTATGGTTGAGTAAAAAGATTCTTGTTTTGAAGAGTATGCCGATAAGAATGTAATGTATTGGTAACACATTGAATATAAATATGGTATGAAGGAAAATTTGGACAATATGTATTATTATAACGCCCGCCGTTACATAAGATACTATCACGTGATAAATTAAACACTCTTCTTGGCCAAAACCGGGAAAATTCTAAAGAAGTGCAACCGAGCACAGCCAAAAATTCGGACTAGTCTTGGCGTATCGGTATATCGTGCAATCCAAATAAATACAAGCGAGAAAATTGCAAGGGCACATATCTTTTCTTCTCAAGATGTATGAGATCTCCATCGATCACATGACTAATACAATTTCACATTCGACAACCAACTTCGACGACACATACAACCTCCCCACAATGAACAACAGTCCTTCAGACAAACAAACGTCTACTGAATTACCCTCCCAACCACTCAATGAACCTTCTCAATCTGACGGTCATTTCCCTAACGAAGAGCGTCGCTCCCGCTCGTCCTCGGATTCAAGCTCACACTCACAAAGTTTATACAATTCAGATTTGCGTTCGCTCAGCAGTCAAGTAGAGCAGGAGAACTACTCCTCCACCTCAATAAGCAGCAGTACAAGTAGCAGCAGTATTAGTAGTAGTAGTAGTAGTATTTATGTTAGTAATGGTAATATAAGTAATAGTGAGGGAGACACAACTTTAATAATGGATGAAGCTAATGATAATGCTAATAGAAGACAAGCACTGCCTGCACCTATTCACACTAATGTTGATAATAGTTTGCCGGGTCCAGTCAGTGCATTAACACGCAGAGAGCATATTACTGCACATTCACATGAGCGCAGCAGATCCTCGTCAGTCGATGAATCGACTGTTGAAGATTGGACTATTGACCGAGTAGTGCAGTGGTTAAGAGATAATGGATTTAGCAACTATATACAGCACTTTATTGGTATGTCCGGGCTATGGAACCAAACCTAATTGTTTTCTCCAATGCTTGATAATTACAAACACATTTGACCTGAAATTCTATCCACTTGATAACAATAGATAATAATTGGTATGGTAATGCATTCTTTGCATTAACTAACATACAAAACGTAAAGGTACCAAAAGGAGATCGAGATCAGAGATTCAAGCTTATTACCGCAATAAGAAAAGTAGCTGAGAAGGCCGATATCAAAACGGTAAGAAGAAAAAAAAGTTTCATAAAAAATGAATGACGATGATTGCATATCATTGATTGTGACGTGCATGTTTTCATAACCTTTAGCTGTAATCACAAGTAATAGATATCATAGATAAATGTGTATATATCATGGCTGTGATCAACAATGTCTGATATACCATCTCGTGTTTCAATGTATATTTTCTATTATTCATTCTCCAAGTCCAAGCATACTTTCAAAAAAATTCATGTTTTTTGTCGCATTTCACTATTTAATTGCACAGTTTTCTTTTTCTTTTTTTCTTTTTCCATTACACATTGGAATCTGACTCTACATGCATTCGTATTTATCATTTAAAAGGAACCGCAATCTGCAGTGGACCATTCCCCAGACAGTGCCCTTTCCCTCATGCTTCCAACGATGAACTTTTTTGCAGGGACGTCATCTCCTACGACATACACTCAACCACTACCCGTTCGAGTAAATTCTGAACCCAAGATTCCTCTTTCTTTGAGACTGACATCAAGTACAAATGATCTAAAAAGTCATCTTAATCTTGGTGAACGATCATCTTCGCTCTTGTGGCGCTTAAAGAAAATAATGGCAACTTTGGATAATTTAAACTTCCGCGTTGTTGATATCAGTGACCCGGAAGACGTTAACAAAATCAAGGACAAAGTATTATTTGCACTAGGTGTTAAGGGTGACCATGACCACTATGTTTTCTATGCAACTGAAATTGATCTGGACAAACTTGGCGAAAGTCTTAAGGACGAAGAAATAATAGAACGATGTCGGAATGCAGATACGAAGGGGGCACTAAAATTATTTGTCAGACACATTGCAGTTAAGATTACGACTTTACCACTGTCACAATATGAGCAACGTAGAACTCCAGCTGATCTGAGAGCATCAACTATATCTAGTTCATCGTTTACGAATTTTCTTTATCATGATGAGTTGCAAGAACAAGAAATGTCGTTATATTCTAAACGACCCGAATCTATACTTAATGGTCGCAACGTTATGAATAGGGGATCGAGGCCGGCGAAATCTTTCAATGCGTCATCATCTATTCCGACCAGCTTAAGGCCTGGTGGATTTATATCGACCAAGCCAACTAGTTACGAGACAGCTCATCAACTATCATTATCGGACAAATCATCTCAACAATCGGTTTATTCAGGCCCATACAAATATCTTAATAAGATTAACAAATCAGATATCAGCTTACCATTACATTCATCTATTGCTAATAAACCCTATGATTCGATAGAAACCTATCGGCCGTTTCACGTAAATGTATCAGACACAGATCTGCAGCGGCGAAAACAAAAGTCAAGGACATTTCCCATCAGCACTCGGGATGGCACACAGGATGACTTTTGTATATCATGTATATCTGAATCTATATTGAATGAGAAACAAATTGAGGGACCACGCACACAGGGATACGATATTTTTAATCCATACGCCGAAGACGGGCGTCGAGCTAGCTTCCATAGTGAACCCAATTTTGAAGATCGGGCTGTAACACCGGATGTTGAGAAATCGGCGAACACTGCAGATGATGATTTGCCATTATGGCCTAAATTAGATATACCAACACAAACGAACGATAGTACAGATGACAATAATGACGATGACTTATGGATCCAACCACCTATACCCAACAAGAACAATAACAATGCTCAATCGGAAACTGCTAATGACAGCTTAAGCAACAGTTCAAATCTAACAGGCGACACTTACGTTCCAGAAAACATACAAACTGACCAGTCATCTCAAACGTTAATTGAATCCAGGTCTTCAGAACATGATCCTCCAACTTCTTCCCATGCAACGAATGGCCTTCGTCGTAAAAGACACTCTGATGCATCATATGACTCTGAAACCCCCAGAGAAGCATCTAAACTTCAACGCACTATTTCCCTCCGCAGAGGTGTTAATGTAACCTGGGTGACACGTCCTAGTGCCGAGGATGTGTACCATGATCTGGATAAGTATTTTCCGGGACATGATCTTGATAAACCCATTGCTGAAGGAAACGGCGGTTTGGTGACCTACGCTGATAACCGTGGAGAGACCCCAACGCCGCCCGTATCACCGACTACTAAGACGGAAAAACGAGGTGCTCCTTTGCAGCGTTATAAATCTATTCGATCAGTTGCGCAAGAGGCGAAAGACCGCGAAAAGAATGAAAAGAAAGAGCGAGATGCTAGAAAGAACTGGCAGCAGACTACAACTGCTATTAGGGCTGCTACGAAATTGAAGAGAAAGGCAACGAAATTTTGGGATAAGAGGGTTGTGGAAATGCGGCCCGGAAGTCATGGTCAAAACAGTCCGGTCGCAAGCCCTTTAGATGTTACACCCGATGTAGCATTGGCTGAAGCCGGTCAGAACAAAAAATGTAGGTGATCGCATTTTATTGTCGTTGGTGTTGTCGGTACAATTTCCGAATTAACAAGGCATTGGAATCATTTACTTATTAACTTATTTATTGTACTTTTAAATTTTATTCGGTTTATAGCAAACAAAATATCTTGGATCAAAGGTGAACTTATTGGAAAAGGAACATTCGGGAAAGTCTACTTGGCACTTAATGTTTCAACATCCGAGATGATCGCCGTTAAGCAAATTGAATTACCAAAGACAAAAGCGGATCGGCTGAGCGAGAGGCAGATCAACTTGGTTAGTAAACACTCTTCCCTGTACGTAATATTACTATCGTTTCAATAACAATTGACTGTTTACGATTCGGTTGTATTGTAAACAGGTGAAATCTTTCTATTCTGAAATTGAGCTTTTGAAAGTTCTTGATCACGAGCATATCGTTCAATATCTTGGCTACGATGAATGTGGGGATACAGTTAATATTTTCCTCGAGTATGTCAATGGTGGATCGATTGGTACATGTCTGCGAATTCATGGTCGATTTGAGGAGCCAGTAGTTAAATCATTTACACGGCAAATCTTACTGGGTTTGGAATATTTGCATGGGAAAGGCATTCTTCATCGGGTAAGTTCAATCGTAACATGGGGAAAAAAAATATTTTCCTTCAGACGGCTGTATCCGTTACGAAACGAGCAATTTTAGAGAAGAGGAATTCATTATGTTTCCTTTGTTGCAGGATATAAAAGCGGATAACATTCTTGTGGACGAAGAAGGTTGCTGTAAAATATCCGATTTTGGCATTTCAAAGAAAAGCGGTATGTATTATGATATAGTAATAGAAGCATGCTTTCTACGTCAAATTGATTATTAATACTTGGCATTTTTATCAGATCACGCATTCGCCTATGACAACATTTCAAACATGTCTCTTCAAGGAACGATATTCTGGATGGCACCGGAGGTGTTTACAAATGGTTATAATGCAAAAGTCGATATCTGGTGAGACTCAATATATTACTGTCTACAGTAACTGATGATCCTTTCTCGGTAAAATTATTAACACTTTTCACCATTTCCATAGGGGTCTTGGCTGTGTGGAACTCGAGATGTTTACCGGAAAGCGTCCTTGGGAGAAGTTTACCGACGTTGCTGCAATGTATCAACTTGGAACAGAGAAAAAAGCGCCACCTATAAGCGATAAAATTAAAATGTCAGCGGAAGCACGAGACATGCTGGATAAATGCTTTATAATGTTGGTGTTTTTACGTGTTCATGCAGTTGTTTTATCTTATGTAACATGTCGTATGACACCAATTCCTGCCTTTCTGCTTGTTTATATAGAGAACCGGAACTGCGACCTACAGCCGCCGAACTCTCGGAACATCCTTTTGCTAAAGAAGATCCTAAATTTCGATTTAAAGTGCGTACCAAGTTTTATATGTCGTCCTTTTTATGACTCTAGTACTTGTTGGCTAACATTTCTTCCCAATCAATTGACAGAAATACATCCGAAAACCATAAACTGAACGATAGCCATTATATTAATTACAGTAGATACACCTTCCCTCACAAATTCGCGACTATTATCCGACATCCCTTTCACACCGACACCCTTTTTTATTTCTTTACGTGTTTGTATTGTCACCAATCTATAATCGTCCGTTTACTGCGGGCACTTGCGTTGTCATCAGTAAACTTTACTATTTATGTATGTACATATTCTTTTATTTTATTTCATTTACTTTTAGTTTCTTGAACTTATTTTTGGAATATTGTAACTAGAGTTGGAAATCAAAGAGAGCTAACGAATTCACTTGAGGTGAGAAATAAAGAACCTACTTGCAAACGATCTATTTTATTCCATCTGCAGGTCTTGTTCTCCATCTTTATATTTAGGGGATTGAAATTATCTTTGCAACGTTTCTTCCAGCCTGGGATTGACCTATTTTATTAGCGTAACTTGTATGGAGGAGGTAAGTCGAAAAAATGTGTGAGGAGTAGTATCTTCATCTTTGCTAAATTTATTTCGTATTAGTGCTTTGTACATTTCTAAACCGATTTAGCTCGTACACTGGCATCATAATGATAAATACGTTGATAATATAAAGTTAGCCAAATGTTGAACCAATTTCAGTTATATAAAATTAGGATGACAATAATTATCAATCGCGTGATATACAAGGGTTTGCAAAAAAAATCGGACAAATAAAATCGCTTGTTACTGCTTCAAATCTCATATATATTATTTGAAAGCTTGAAATGAGCAGCTTTTATTTATGAATTATTAAAGATATCCGTTCACCGTTATTTCTATCACTAACTCACATAGAGTTGACCAAACCAATTAGTGTCTCTGGGAATCATCTGTCATAAAACGCTCCAATTCATCGGAATTTTTGGGCATACGTTTTTCAACGTTTGTTTTGACAATAGCCCAGAGATTTTCAATGGGAGTTAAATCTAGAGTAGACTATTAGAGGGCCAGTCTATAATTCTCTTTAAGGAATGGCTTGGCGATCCGACTAGTGTGTTGGAAGCCCCAAGTTTTTCCAAGCATTTTCTTAATTTCAGGAAGGCGGTGTTCCTCAATGATTTGAATGTAAAATGAGGCATCCATTATCTGAGTAAAACAATAAAAGCTTGTCTTCCAAAATTCGCTCCGAGCGAAGATCTTTCTCCTATCCTGCGAATGGCCTTTTCCCCTTATACCAACGCTCGATAGTATTTCTAAACAATTGGAAGGCTGTTTCATCAGTGAATAATGTATTCCTCCAATTGTCGTTTAAGTGCTGTCTTGCCCATTCAACCCTCTTTTTCTTATGTGCTGATGTTAGCATCGGCGTTGTAATCGGTAAGGCGTAAAAATCAGGCTTTGACGAAAGTTCGGGGAAAAATCTCGGATGAAGCCTAGCGTGAGCGCCGGCTTCATAAAGAACTGTAATATGAATTCCAGTTGTGTTCCTTTAAATGCCTACTGATAATTGAAGTAGAGAGATAAGGAAGAATCCCTTCGGACATATTAACCTATCGCTCTCGATGCCTCCGCTGTTATTTTCTTGCGTCGCCCTGTGGTCAACATTTTCTTTTTCACGTAATTTTTAAGATTGTAAAGATATGTGGGCCGTATCATCTTTCCATTTGATCCAGAAATCAATACCTAATAATGAGCAATGCGGTGTGTTAGCTAGGAATTTTATGTAACCACTTTTTGTATTACTGAAAAATTAACATTAAGTTATTATTATATAACCTAAAAGTTTAGTTTAAAAAATCCAATCTGAGCTTTCAGACTTGGACAAGAATCCGACCCGCCCCCTACTATTGCGGGTTAAAAGCTTCCGATTATCGGTGAATACCTATATAAAATTCGGGATGATAGTGTTAGACCAAGACAATTTTGCGGACGGTGAGGACAGAATAAAAGCTATACTTTCAGATCGTGAAGGTCATTCCCTGTCGCATTTACACCAATCAGATTTCTGAATATTCTAGAAATAAGAACAATAGCGATAGTATCAGTGTAACATTTCGGGGTAATGATGTGTTACACTAGGCAATATATGCTTTACTATTGGTTGACGGTGATCCTTACTGCATAAATCATGACAATATTTATTTACTTATAAGGTCGCGCACGACAATAGCAACCGTCATTTAACACGCGCCCACTCATACATATATAGCCTGTCGCTCCTCTCTATAGCGCATGTACTTCACCGCAAATACAACGTTATCAAAAAGTTCATATACAACGAACAAAGCCCTTTGATGCTACTACTCCATATTAAGCACATACGCCAGCCAACAACGAAGAACGCCCTTTGCTGCCACTACTCCATATTACGCACATACGACAGTTTTCCACAACGAAGAACGCCCTTTGCTGCTATTACTCCCTATTACGCACGGAATAATTTTTTCATGCGAGTTAAAAATCCGTGCTTTCTTTTTCTTGGGTGGTTGTAAACTTGTTGTGAAATTCACACGGAGATATGATCATAATGCACCATCCTATGTGCTGAGCTCCTCAGTTGCATATGATAGTTTGCCACGACGAAGAACGCCCTTTACTGCTATTACTCCATATTAGAAAGAAAGAAACCCACCAATATATTATTGGAAGTTGCTTTGGATGGATTTGGAGTCAAAAGACATTTATCTCAAATCATTTCTCAACCTGCTTGAGAAAGTGATTAATCCGAATGGTAGTAGGTAGAAGCCTTGTGGATCATACTATCTCACAATGACAGAAAGGTCTCTGGTTCTTATGTTATTTTCTTGCTGGAATTGGAAATAAACATATTGGTGCATTGAAAAAAGACATTGCTATGTTTTTGGATCATTCAGGTACCTCTGATCAAGCAATCGATACTTTATCTAACATGCAGTTGAGTGCCCCCAGCACCCACATCGATGTCATCAACAACATCATCAATAGTGCACCTGGCACCCGAACCATCAACACCCCGGCACACACATAATTATCAACGACAACAATCACAGAGTCGCCGGTAGAAGTCGGAAGCCGGGGAAACCGGTATCGTAGTCCGATCCCTATCCCGACAACTATGACTTCTGTAAAATTATCCTGGTTCAGTCTTTCAGCAAGACGGAGCACCGTGTCATACATCTTCATATAGCACTTGGTGGATGTCAACTGGTGATTTCGATTTCCGCACCCGATTTGTTTCTTTTAATTTAATCCTCATGTATTTATTAGTTTTAGAGTATAGAATAGCGCAGTAGGCGCAGAACTCGAAATAGATATATAAGCAGTCGTAATTTCCTTAGCAAACGGTGTCTTCGGTTGAATAGATTCGATC